AGGGTCATAAAACTCCCCAGTATTTCCAACCTCCCGCTTGGAATTTCAGCCTTTCTCATTGGACAAGCCCATCCTGAGAGGCGTGAATCTTCTCAGACTTTAAAGGGCTCACGCACAGTTCCGCCCAGGTCTTCTTCTGCTAAAATCTTCTGATTGTGGCCCATGTGGAGAGCCTGAGCCGGTGCGGACGTGCCCGGTGGGCTCCAACACATAGCCTTGCAGTCGGCGGTTCTGTTAGATTCTGAGATAAATAATGTGATTGTAATTTGACTTTGTCAGCACTCCGCAGGGGAAACTTGACCTGCTAAGCAACAGGTTAACATCACATTTGTTGCTACGCCCACAACATGATTCTCCAGTAATCATGAAAATACACAAATATTTTTTTCATTTGTACATCAAATTAAACCAGGGTTTTAATCTTATTTTGGAGTGCCAATGCATTCTGGGATTTTCTTCCTGCAAAGGAAACACGCAATTCTGCGTTAAGGGTTTGGATGTTTTATGATGCAGCATAATTAATTCTTCTACAATTTAAGGTTTAGTTGACCTAAAAATCTAAATTCTGTCATTGCTGACTCACCCTCATGTTGTTCCAAAGCCATAAGTACATGCTCTTTTTCTTTCATCTCAATCAACTTCTTTTTCTCTCAGTCTCTTTATCTTGGCCTATTTCTCATCCTTTTCCATAGCTGAACTTTGATTAATACAGTCTTTTCATTTTCATCTGTCACTGAAGAAAGTAAACATTGGGTCAACTGATTTTTACATGTGTTTTATGAATCATTTTATTAGAATATTAGAAGTGTAATTGCTAAAGGCTACCAGAAAAGCTATGGAACCAAACTTTATTAAATTCATTCACAATATGTGCACATTCATTACTAATCTTACACATAATATGCTGAAAACGGCTGTTAATGTTTCTTGTCTTGTTACACTGACAATTACAAATTACATGAATCACATAAGTTATATATTTTCAGTTCAAAATAGGGAAATTAGACCGTTTATTATTTTGAATCCCCGATTAATTCTGCCAGTCATTTACCATACCTATTGTAAAACAGCTTCCAAACATTAAATGTTTAGCTACTTACATCTTATTTCGCACATTATAACCATCAACTGAAGCATCACTCTGGAATTCATGCTTAACCCACCTACTTTAATTTGATTGGACATCTTCAAGTCTTCATTTTGACAATGACTTGCACTGAGGCATGTTAATGAGAAAGCCTATGATCTTGGTGTTACGCAATAGCCCTGCAGCACAAAACTGGAGTTAATATTAGGCAATTTTTCATAACTTTTATTATATACATCTCAGAACAATACAGAGGTCTGGACCTCGGGGAACTCAATGCCATGCATGATGGTGAGTAAATGTAGACAATTTACATTTTTGGGTGAACCATTCCTTTAAATTCTCCACTTTACAGGCAGCTCACTAGTTTTTACAGTCTATATCCTTGTTTCATCCCAAGTAAAATGCAGAATTCTGAATACTCTTTGACTAAAGCAGGCAAAACAAAGACAGATTCTCTTCATAGTCTCCAAAACTAATTTCTGAAGATGCTTACAGGAAAAGCTCCATCCCTAATGGTTTATGTAAACACATTTATTTTATTCAGGCTGATTAAGTGCAAACACTCCATGACAACTTCTCTCATCTACACTCCTCCCATCCTCAGAAAATGGTGAGGTCTGCACCCTTTATCCGAGAGTGCCATTAGTGCCATTACTTCAACTCTGATCACATTATGCTGATAAATACATATTATACGTGCATGGTCTAATGTGACTCATCTAGTGTGTTCAGGTTTATGTGTGGGAGATTAAAAAAAGAGGGGGGAGAAAACTCAAGATCTTCAAAATGGAAATGTTTTTAGCTCCAGCTCACTCAAGATCTGATCAGAGCCTCAGATGGCAGGCAGCATGATGGGTGACAAGACCGTGAAGTGTCTGCTGCTCAGATGAGTTTCAAAAGAACAGCACATTTAACAGGGGAAAGGGAATCCACAGGTTCTATCACGGAAATAAACCACTTCTCGTCTGATCACTTACTCTGTCTGTTTGTCATGTCAGGCTTCCCGTGCTCCTGTCACGCTTGCCTTTCCAGAGAAAGTTATCATTTTCGGCATTGTGCGCTCTGACCAGGATCTTAGCTGGCATTATATGAGGGTGAGAACATGGAACTACTGAGCCTACTGAATATTAATTAGATGATTTTATCATTAATATTCATGAGCTAAGCTAGTAAGTTTCATAACTTCATTTTATCTAAAGGAAATGACTGAAGGCATGACATTTGCTCTAAAAAAAAACTATTTGACCAACACACTATAATAATGACACACAATTTCAGATCATTTTTGACACCACAGCACCTTTAAAGGTGCAACTGATATCCAAAGGTCCCCACTGATCGCACTCATGGCTGCCCCTGATCGTTTATGCAAGCACTGTTGTCGAGAAAAGCCTTACCTTGACCCCCCGGACACGGAACTCTGCTAAAGCTCGGCTCATTTTGGCAGAGGCCGCCGGCAGATCCTTTCCACTGGCGATGACTTTCACCAGGAGGGAATCGTAATGAGGGGAGATGACAGCACCCTGGAAAGCAGATGCGCTGTCCAGCCTGATACCCATGCCCTCTCCACTGCGAAAGACCTGCCCGAGAGGAAAGAAAAGGATGGTCAGAATACAGATTTAGTTTAATCTTTGTGTGCTTGAGGGACTGCACTTGAAAGAGTCAGGATTTTAGACTTTAGACAATATTTTAAATGTTACACAGCAAATTCCCTTTTTATATTTTGACACTTTACATTAACTTTTTTTAACACCTTTACATTTTATTTTTACACCTTGCTTTCACACTTGAGGAAAAGTAATTTAGCATAACTGAAAAGTTATCTGTAGGTAATCTATAGGTAACTTGCACCAGATGCAACACATTATTACTGACTAAATTATTCGCACCCATTATAATCAATACAGTTGTCAACACTGGAAGAATTTGTTGTTTTCGGGGTTTTTTCCCTTTCACATTTCACAGCCACTCCAGTGACTTAATTTTTCCCTGCACCTCTGAAATAAAGATTGTTTTAACATAATATAAAAAAAATTATATATAAAATATTACATAATATTTTTGCTATTAATTTAATTTATGTATTTTAATAAATTGTTACAGAGCCAGCTCATGATTTTCTGCTCTTGTTTCTAACATTATACACAATTGCAGCAATTATTTTAGACTTTATTTTAGACTTAATCTACTTAATTTTCCCGTCTATACTAAAAAAAAAAAAATTCATTTAAAAGTAATATATTACAAAATGAATGAATGCATGAGTAAATGAATACATACATACATAAAATATTATTACCTAATAATAATAATACTTTTTTTTTTTTGCTTAGAATTTAATGTGATGCACTTAAACAATCATGATCATTACATAAAGTCCAGCTCATCATTTTCTGTTCTTTGGTCTTCCAATTTAAATCATCCTTTTAACCAAATTCTAATTTTCTCTAAAATTATCTTTACATAACACATGCATTTCAGCTGAAAATAAAATTAGATACTATTTATTAACCAATTTCTAATTTTCTCTAAAAATTATCTTAATATAACACATGCATTTCAGCTGAAAATAAAATTAGATACTATTTTCTAACCAATTTCCAACTTTCTCTAAAATTATCTTTATATAACACATGCATTTCAGCTAAAATAAAATTGGATACTATTTTCTAACTAATTTCTCATTTTCTCTAAAAGTATCTTTATATAACACGCATTTCAGCTGAAAATAAAGTTGGATACTATTTTATTTTCATTTGACTGTTGCTAATACATCGCCTCAAGCTTACACCTGCTTGGTTCATGTTAGTGAACAGTCTAAGGAGTATTAGAAGTTAATTAAGTTAGTCTAAGAAGTAAATTCAGTGAAATGTATTTAAATGCGGCGAAATGTGTTCAGTGGCACTCCGAGTTCTAAACTGTTCTCAGAAACCACATCAAATTAAGCAAAATATTACGTAAATACACATACAAGGCAGGGGCAGAGGATTTCGCATGAGTGGCACTGATAGGCGTAGTTACTCAAAGGTGAACAGGTAAAAATGGCTGTTGAAATGCTTTGCGCATGATCTCAAAATATGCCGTGTGTTTTGAAGGTTTTGAATGACGTGTTTAAAGGTGCAATTGAGCGATTTAACAAAACAGCTCTTCAGGGTGAGGCACAGGAGGCAGCCCTCAGCCGCTTACCTAAGCGTGAGGTTAAAAATAAAAAAAGCAACAATTTTAAAATCTAACATTTCGCAGAGAGCTGCCCCTTGAACTGTACAAACATTCATCCTGCAAAAATAGAGCAACCGTCGACACAAGTACCTCAGGGAAGTGTGCAGGCAATAAGAACAAATTGAGGGAAAAAAACACTGACACACACAAACACTCACACTGCAGCCAACTGGCAGCAGTCATTTGCTGTTGCAATTGTGCTCCGTCTCAGCCGCTGGCATCCACATTACAATCATCAGCACAGTAAAATTGATTTGCGCAGCTCAGACACAGGCACCAACAGAGGTACTGTAAGAGTGGGGTCTTACAGAGGAATTTAATGAGAAGTGCGAAACAAACAGAAACCGAAAAAGAAGCCGAGGCATTGGCTTCAGTACAGTCGCTCTTTGGGTAATGGCTACGATTGCTCAACATCGATTATGCCGCCACTTACGACATAAGACATGCTAATGAACAGTAAATTCACCAGAGATTATACAAGCATCGCCATGGCAATTCAAGAGTAATTTGATATCACTTAAATTGAGTGGAAATTTGATTTGACACCATTAATGGCTTCTGCCACCCAGTGAGACGACCGTCACAAAGATATGACAACATTTCTCTGTCATTTACACCCTGAATGCCTGTAATAAGTGAATGAATGCAAATAATTGTTTTTATTATTGAAAAGTCAACATGAAACCAAAATGGATGCAGCTTACTGTCTTCAACATAACCTCAGAAAAAAAAAAGAAAAGTTTTGCAACTAAAGATATGGAATGGGGGGAAAAAAATCACACTTTTCTTGTTGAATATTGTGACATATTGTAAACTGGGATTCATGCTGACTTTTCAGAAACTAGCGTTAATTTCAATTACAGTCAAAAAAATTAGCAGAAACACGAGAAATACCATCATATCATTATCCAACAAACTCCATGCTGATCCATCCGGCTCAGCTTTGCTTAGAAAAATGAGACAGGGCAGCCATAACAGCGATCCAAAGCTGTGTATTTGGCTTCTCATCATCAGACAGATGCTTTAGGACAGGATTTCTGTTGAAGCGCCACTGATCTGGGTCACAGCAAGAAACCTGGAGGAAATGTGTCTCACAAAGAGATCTGAAAAGGAAGGCAGGCAAGCCAAAGCTCTGCATGGGTCAGTCTTATTCTCCTCATCTCTTATTCTGTTTATTTTCGTGCTGGTTGCAATTGGGAGCAGGGCTGAAATAGATGCTGAAACTGATGGATGACTTCACCACCACCAGGGGTTTGAGTCAAATGAGAGCTTTAAATACAATTACAAACCTCTACCTGTCATGCTGAGAGAAGACAGGGAGAAAGAGAAAACAGCTGCGTTCTGATTCACAGGGTCCCCCCTATACAGCGTTCACACTGAGCAGGGCTTATGCAGACAAGCAGAATAAATTATGTTTATTTGGAACCTTATTAAACCGACAATTCTGGGTATAATAACATCATATACATGTGTAAATAATTAGAAACAACAAAACTAATTTTAATTAATGTATATAATGTACCCATTTGTATATACAGTATATATATATATATATATTACGTTTTTTTGTTTGAAATAAATTAATACTTTTATTTAGCAAGGATGCATTGATTCAAAGTGAGGTAAAGACGTTTATAATGTTACAAAATATTTATATTACAAATATAAAAATATATTTATATATTTCAAAGCTGTTCTTTTTTAAACTTTCTATTTATCAAAGAATCACAAAACATGTATTACGGTATCCACAAAAATATTAAGCAACACAACTGTTTTCATTACTTATAATAAGAAGAAATGTTTCTTGAGCATCAAATTAGCATATTAGAATGATTTCTGAAGGATCATGTGACACTGAAGACTGGAGTAATGATGCTGAAAATTCAGCTTTGCATCACAGGAACAAATTACATTTTAAAATGTATTAAAACAGAAAACAACAATTTTATTTATTTATTTTGTTTTTGTTTCATACTATTACTGTTTTTATTTCAAAAACAAATTTAAAGAAAACTTACCGAGCCCAAACTTTTAGAATGGTGGCAAAATTATTATTATAAAATTTAAATTCATATGATTTTTCATACCCAAATTTAGTGCTATATCATTTTGGCAATGTTTAATATAAAAATATATGTGATTTGGTTCAATTACAATGCATATGTGTCTTAACGGCAAAGTGCTCATATAGACTATAATGTTCAATCTGACTTTTACAACATTAACGGCACATGAAACAACGTTTACTGTATCACCTTTTCAAAAGCAAAAAACAAAAACAATAATATATTATATTATTATTTTATATTAATTTGCTTATGTCAGCATACTATTTATTAAAATATCACAAAGTCTTATTTCATGAATCTTTCAGAAACGTTCATATTGCTTCAAAAACTGTTAGAAATAATAATACAGTGAAACATTTAATAACTACAATAACACTGAGCCAATTATAGTTCCAAAGAGGCGATATCCAGCTGCTCCCTGCAAAAGCAAAAAACAAAAACAATAATATATTATATTATTATTTGATATTAATTTGCTTATGTCAGCATACTATTTATTAAAATATCACAAAGTCTTATTTCATGAATCTTTCAGAAACGTTCATATTGCTTAAAAAACTGTTAGAAATAATAATACAGTGAAACATTTAATAACTACAATAACACTGAGCCAATTATAGTTCCAAAGAGGCGATATCCAGTTGCTCCCTGCATCTTTAGCAGTGAATAAACATATACACTTCCTACAATTTGGAATCTTGCTTGAGGTGGTCAAATACCCTGTGAAGTCTTTGCAGGGGACTTTTGGGTAGCTGGAACATGCCCATGGAATTTTATTAGTCACTTCCTGAATGAAAGAGAATAACAGGGAGACTGAGTGCAGGAGAGAGAGAGATTTCAGCAGGTGAAGGGTAGAGTTTCAGAGACGGCAGAATGAGAGGAATGGTAATAGAGGGAAAGAGATGCCACGGTTTCTGAGCTCCTAGCAACCCTGCATGCTCTAACAGGCAGAAAACCATCACAGCAACCCAGGAGAGATGAGCGAGAAACATTCACCCGATTGTTTTATCTCGGAGGGAATATGAAATTTGACGCATGGAAGATCGTCTCTGAGCATGTCAACCTAATCAAAATTGTTTCTTTTTAAAAAAGTTCTGATTTAGCTTGAAAGATTGTCTCATCTAAAAGAAGATGCAGGATATGGAGTTCAGAGCAGCACTTATTTCCCTTCTGGCAAAAGATGGGCTGGGAATAAAACATTCCACTGCATCATATGTGCGTGTAATACCCATCTAGTTGATAAATATTAATTTTTACTGTATTTTGACTTATAAAATAACTTTAATATT